TCCCGATCCAGGTAGGGTCGCAATTGGTGCACCAGGCGAACCTGGGCAAAGGTCCCCCTGATCACAGCCGACAAATGGTGTTCTAAAGTCAGCTGCAGGCAGTCCTGTAGTGGGAAGATTGTCAATGGCAACCACGTGACCCTGAGATGCTGCAAACTTCGTAAAACACAAGCCAGTTGCCAAGTGCTGAATTTTGATCACATGACTGTGGGGATGCTGCAACTATCATGTTGTAAGTGTGAGGAGCATGATTTATGATCAGTCCTCACACGGTATTTGTAGGTCAGGGTTGAAATGAGGGGTCCTTGGTGCTCTCTGAGCTGGGTGCGGTTTTTTTTGCAGACGTTTCATCACCCAACTAGGTACCATCATCAATGCAAGTGGTGCTGATGTTGCTTAGTTTGGAGAACGAAACCACTCAACTCAGAGAGCACTAACGACCCCACATATTGCACCACTTCCATTCATTTAGTCATCTCAGGCAAATCCTTTAACTTCCATATTTGAGCCCACAGTTAGTTTATCAACTGTTTGAAATCACTAAACAAATGGTTGACAGTTGAGGACTACCCATAGGCTAGGGTTGGAAGCACTCACTGACTTGTTCAACTTATGGAAAACGGTGGAATTGACCTGGAATTGACTTAGATGCCAGTTACTTTGTGAGCAAATAATCAGATCTCCCTTCATTTTGCCCTCAGCATGTGCAGTAGAGCAGAGAAATGTGCTTGTTTCAGTGCTAGAGTGTTACTCATTTTTGAGCACTGTTTAAGAAAACCTATTCAGTGCTCAGCAAAAAGAATGTTATCACCACCACCACCATCATCACCCCACTTTTCTACTTAGAGCACATAATATTCCAATATTTGAGGGGCTGCCACAAAGAAAAAGGGGTCAACCTATTTTCTAAAGGACCAGAAGGCAAGACAAGAAACAATGAATGGCAACTGAAGAGAGAGAGAAGCAACCTAGAACTAAGGAGAAATTTCCTGACAGTGAGAATAAACCAGTGGAACAGCTTGCCTCCAGAAGTTGTGGGTGCTTCATCACTGGTGGCTTTTAAGAAGAAACTGGACAGCCACTTGTCAAAAATGGTATAGGGTCTCCTGCTTGACAGGGTTGGACTAGAAGACTTCCAAGGTCCTTCCAGCTCTGTTATCCTGTTAAGATAGCTTATTCTACTTCATAATCTCACTGCAAATAACTGCAAACCAATAAATACACATTATGCCAAACAGTTACCTGTGGTTGGGTTGGCCTTCTGAGCTAAGGTAGGTCAGGAAATAGATACCACAAAGATTCCATAAATGTTATTTTTTAAATATATATAAAATAACAGAATCGTGAAACCTGCTAGAATTTTTTTTCTCTTATGCCAAGCAGAATCAAGGTGGGAGTTTTAATTTTCTTTCTCAAATTTCCACTTTACTAAGGCTAAATTGTTTTTCTTCCCTTAATGGTTCATGTGTTCTTTCATCAAGATTATCTCCACATTTTTTTACATATTGCTTATTTAGAAATGCTTATTTACCAAACCAAATGCACTCCAGCTTGACAGGTGGCAGTGATGAATACCCACCATAAATCCATACAACTATATCAGAATTTATTAGTTTTATGTGAAGTGCTACATCAATTTTAAAATGCAGGCAGGCAGGGCCAAAAGCGAAAAATACTTCCTCAAATATTATGAAATTATTTTTTTCCTTTATAGTTCTACTGAAACAAACACTTTTTTTGTTTTCAAACCTTCATTCATCCTTGAACCTCTGGGCACACAATGGGATTGATATTTTTGTTTTTAAAAATGTAATGGCTGTATGTTTGCACGCACAAATACACAGAGGCACAAATACACAGACACACACACTATCCTCCACACCAGAGGTGGTATTCGGCCAGTTCTGACAGGTTCTGGAGAACTGGTAGTGGAAATTTTGAGTAGTTCAGAGAACTGGCAAATAGTCTGGCCCCGCCCCCGCTGCCTCCCAGCCGATCTTCTGCACAGGAGAACGGAGCTGGAAAGCAGGTTAGCGGGGCAGGGAGGGAATGGGGAGTTTGCAGTATCCGTCCCCTGACACGCCCTCAAAGCCATACCATGCCCACCAAGCCACACCCACAGAAACAGTAGTAAAAAATTTTGAATCCCACCACTCCTCCACACATCGTTGTTTCAAAAGACTTAATTGTTTTAAATCACAGCAATAGACTTCCTGAGATTGGAGGAACCGGGTATGTTTAGTCTAAAAATGAGAAGAACCAGGGGAGATATGATAGCAGCGTTCCAATATCTGAAGGGCTGCCCCAAAGAAGAGGGAGTTAAGCTGTTCTCCAAAGCACCTGAGGGCAGGAGAAGAAGTCACAGGTGGAAGATCATTAGAGAGATCCAACCTAGAACTAAGGAGGCATTTCCTGTCAGTAAGATCACATAGTCAATGGAATGGCTTGTCTCCAGAAGTTGCGGGTGCTTCAACACTGGAGGCTTCAAGAAAACACTGGACAGCCATTGGCCCAGAATTGTATATGGTCTTGTGCCTGAGCAGGGGGTTGGACTAGAACAGAGGTCTCCAATCTTTCTAGGTTGGCAGCCCAAAGTGGGGGGGGGGAAGAGAGGATGGTTTGTGGGAGGGGCAGGTGCATTTGTATGCGTTCGAACACCCGTTGCTTGCATGATTGCGGCCATGAATGCCCGTAACTACACTCACGCAACTGGGCCACGGGCATCGGCAACACTGGCAGCAAGACTCACACGAGTGGAGCTCTTTGCATGCACACACACACACACAGCAGCCAGCTACTCCTGGGGCTCAGCGCCAATAAGCTGTGGTTGGGGAGCCCTGAACTAGAAGATCTCAAAAGTCCCTTCAACTCTGTTATTCTGTTCTTTTGGAAATTAAGCTGCAGAGTGAGATTTCAAGGAAACTGATTTTCTCACATGATTGGGAAGATTCATTTATCACTTTCTTTTCCCCCCAGCTCGAGATTAAAAATGCCGAAGTGTACAATGATGGCAAATGTTATCAAGGGAATAAGGGGGCAGGGCTATGGTTAGATCACCCCCAAATTAAACAGTTATCACGTCAATAAAAGTGCACATGAACACTAGTTATCCTCATATGCCAGTGCCTACAATACAAAAATGTTGTTTCATTTGATTCTCACAATTAAATTTGAAAAATGGACTGTGAAAGAATGACTTACGTTAGATAAGAGAGATGAGATTAATCCACCTGATCCCCTAATCCACCTCCACCCAAGAATTGAATCTTAAACAAAAGATTCAGGAAGAGGCTGACTTACTTCACAGATGTCCTTCAGATGTTTGATATAGTGGCGCTCCGTGCTCATGATTTCGTTAATCACATTGGCTCTCATCTGGTCTCGGTTCTGGAGGGTTCTCCCGAGACAGAGGCAGTCAGCAGCATTTGGATCCAAGTGTCCATTCTGTACTTCACTTGCGCCTTCTTCAACGCCATCTTCTTGGTTGACCCAGAGCTGTAACCAAAGGCAATATCAGCCCATTACGTTAGTTTTCTAGTGTGGCTGAGAGCAACAATCCCAGATGAGACAAGGGCTTAAGCAAGGAATTAGCTTGGACTTGGTATGTAAACAGCAGAGGCCAAAGATTGACATCCTCCGAATTACTTTGAACCTTAAATAGTCCTTCCCAAGTGAAAGCTGCCAGCTCAGGAGATTCCTGTGGCATAGGCATAAAACAATAAAGTAGCTAGTTTGAATTCTACACATGTGGGATTTGACGTGTTAAGCTATGCGAACATTTTTCTCTTATATTCTAATTATTGAAGGATGAATTTGATGCCCAGCAAGTTTAAAGGACTGAAGCCAATTATGTGTCCTAATTTGATCTCAAAGCTAAAGAAATCCAGAGTTCTGTAGATATTGGATACATCCTCTACTCCATTGGGCTAGCCTGCACAATTTACACTGGCCATACAACTGGCCAATAAAACCACAGAAGGACTGTGATTTTAGTGAATTAATTCATATGTTCAAATAAGAAGGAAACAAAATTCAATACAGTCTAACCCTTCATGTATTAAGATTAAGCTACTCAGTTCCATGGGGATTATTTCTAAGAAAATAGAAATAGAAATACAGGTAGTCCTCTAACTTATGACCATAACTGAATCCATAATTTATGTTATTGAGAAATTTGTTAAGTGAGTTTTGCCCCATTTTATGACTTTTCTTGCCACATTTGTTAAGTGAATCACTACGGTTGTCAAATGAGTGATATAGTTGTTAAGTGAACCTGGTTTCCCCGTTGACTTTTCTTTTCAGAACATCGCAAAAGGTTATCACATGGACACTGAAACCGTCATAAATATGAACCAGTTGGCAAGCATCCAAATTGAATTGAATTGAATTTATTAGGTTTCTATGCCGCCC